TAGAAACAAAGAATAGTAAGAAGGGTACTATTTTGTTACAGTTTTACAGAGTTTGATGTCTGGCTTAATGTAAATAAGCTAAATTATCTGCCTCTGATACAGATAAATTATATACATACACACATGTATATGTCTAGATGTATATATTGGTCAGTGGTATTCTTATTAAAGCATGTAAAGAAAAAGTCAAATGTGTAATTATTAAAGGGAGTAATGCTTTAATACCCTTTTCAGATTATTGTTCTTTAATTTAGAGGAAAATAAAATTGTACTTCAGTATTTATTAAACATGGGTTAACATGTTTCCACCAGCTTGAACTGCCAGTGAAACGTGTTACTGTCCCATTGGGCTGCTGGGGGGTAACATGCATAACTGTCCCATCAGATGGCTGGTACCAGTGATGTAGTCATACACGTACCACAAGTGGTTCAAGCTGCCTAAAAGTCAGACATAGGTATTAGGGCTGGTTGTGAATGTGCTAAAGCAAGAATAGTAGCTGTAAATGAGGAACAAATAATTTGAATGTAATATAGCTTGGAACTAAAACCATACTGATTGAAACTCAAATTTAAATGTGATAGAATTATTTCCAAAAGATGAGAAGTATAAAACAAAAGAGGCCTTTATTCTGAGAACACGGAGAGAGATAACTGGCACCCCCCCCCCCCCCCCCGACCGCTGGAGTCCAGCGATCTCTCTGGCGGACATATGGCGTCGGGGGGGTATGTAAGTAGCCTCAGTTTGGGGTGAAACCTAAAGGGGCATCAGGGATGCAAGGGTAGCCCATTGGTCCTAGGTTTGGCGCCATAGGTAAGTTCCCAGGGGCGGGGAAGATGATGTCACAGGTAAATTCCTAGGGGTGGGGGAAATAGGAGCTTCCTGGTTCCTGTTGAGGCTTTCCTGGCTACAGAGTCCTGTTTGGACCAAAACCCTTTCAAAATGTAATATTCTGTGATATTCAATTTCAATGTAGAAACTGAAACTGTAATTGTGAACTTTTTATATACTCTGTTATATTAAAATCTGGTGTGAAAAATGTATCTTGAATATTGAATGGTTCTTTTATGCATGTTTGAATTGTAACATCATGGATTGGTCATTTGGAAAATACTGATTGAGTTACGCAGCCTTGTAAATGTTATACATTTTAAATTAATAAAATAACTACCATAAATAAAATTAATAAAATAACTACCATAAATAAAATAACTACCATAAATTAATAAAATAACTACCATTGATTACTTGGGATATGAGTGTGTGTGTGTTGGGCTAGAACCCAGGCATTTGTGCTTGCTAGGGAAGCTATATACCACTGATCAAAATCTCTAACCCTGAAAATTCTTTGAATATTGGGAAGCCATTGAGGTCATGATGGTAGATTGGTGTTTTTCACAGTTATAATTTTTGCTCAAAAGCCCAAATTTTACCATTGGAAACGTGTCATTTTCTTGTTATGATGAGCTCATTTTGATTATTTTCATAAAAATGTCTGCCAGAGTACCTGAGTAATCAATTTATCCTTTTGCTTTTTTGAATAATGATGTTCTGTGAAAAATGTGACTAGTTCACTTGCACAAATGTGTCCTAAGCTGTTATTTTTTATTGCTGTCCAGAAGTGTTTTATGCACACAAACACAGTTAAGAGAAGATATTAGTAAGATAAAAAACAAGTGTGTAGGACTGATAACTGTATTACTAAGTTTTTGTTGGATCATTGTGCAGAACTGTTGGCAGTGTCACTATTAGAATGTCACTTTATATGCTTTAGTTTTGTAACCTGAACAACTATTTCTAAGATGACAATATGTAACTTATCAACTAGTGATTTCTTATTGTTTATTTTTCTGTAATTCTGTATTATTTTTACCCCTTTTTCTCCATGTTTTGTTTCTTTCTCTTTAAATAATTAAAAACAGAAAAAGAAGATATTAGTGAAGTTGACATTCTTTAGAAACTGTGATTGCATGGTGGTGAAGGAGTATAGTGAATGCTAATACAATTCATAGTCACCACCTTGATTTGTGCTGTCAGCTGTTTACTCACTATACCTTTGGACCATCAGTGCAAATATCAACTCAATGTCAAAGGTGAATAGAGTCCTAGTATTTTATGAAAATGGGTTTTGACCTGGTAGATTTTGTGAAAATATCTCAGGTACACTCAGAATTTTATAAACCATAGTTTGAGAATTGCTGATCATTAAGTGCTGTATCAGACTAGAAAACCAGTTTCTTATCAAAGACTTCTATTAAAAGACTCAAGATACAACTTGAAGAGGCTCTGATTGATCAAAGCTAGGATGCTTAACTATTAATATCTGTAGTGGGTAACACATACCAAATACGTTTATGAGTTTCTAAGAAGTTAAAATACTGTACTTCATTTATCACATTTAATTTTAAGGAATGAACCAATTCTTTTGAAAACTGGTAAATACAAGTAAATTAAAACTATAGTCCCCTTTGGGACTGCATGCCTGTCATCCTAGTTTTTGAGAAGCTGAGGGGGGAGGATAGTGAGTTCCAGGCCAGCCTGCGCTGTGGGAGGTGCTGCTTCAGGTAACCACACATAAGCAAAATAATTAACATCTTTGCTTTTGTTTGTTGAGGTCTACTTATGAATAACCAAATCTTTATGGAAAGAAATCTTTGTGGAATTATTTATAATCACTTCATGGAATCACCCCAGTTAACAAATGAGGAGGGAATGGACTGGTAAAGTTACTGCTGTTTTGCAGCCTGTAGTGAAGTGATAGCTGGGGTAACAGACACTGTTTGCCTCTTTAGATCCAGTTATCATTTTGCAGGAAACATATAGGTTACAAAAGCATATTACTAATACCAACGATTTGTAATGTGAATTCCAGAACAAAGGAAATTTTATTACATTTAAGCTTTTTCAACAAACATTGTGAGGGGAAAAGAAGAATGCTCAAATGTATATTATGACAGGATGTTCATTTGAATTGCTACTTGATTACATTTGTGGCTGCAAAAACCTACACATGTAATATAATGGCATAGAACTATATAGCTATGCCAATGTTTTATTTCCTGGCATTTTACTATTGTGTAGTTATATAAAATGTGGCCATTGGGGAAAGTGAATAAAGGTTCAACAAGGGACCACTCTGATAATTTTGCACCTCCTTCTAAATGCATTATTATTTAGAATAAAAAGGAGAAAATAACTTTTGAATTAGGTTTTTTGACATTAAGAAGGAAGATAGGAGGCTGTGAGAGATGATGGCTTGCTTGGTATTGGATAGTTAAAGATATATTGTGATGAGATAGGTGAATGGCTTCCAGGTGTTTCAGAAAAAGAGCTTGTACTGGGTTGGCATGTGGGAAAGAGAGTCAAGGCAGATATTTATTTTGAGCAACCATTTTTGATGTTTTCCCTGTAAATTTAGGAAGGTTAAGATTGGAAAAAGAATAGGTTGGGAGGAGGAAACAGAAGGATTTTTATTCTGAGTTTATTAGGTTGGATAAATCATCATAGATGGAGGCCACACCTGGAAGTAGGAGCTAATTAGCATAGTCAGTGATTATAGTTGAAGGGTTAGATGAGATTGCTCACAGCAGAGGTGTAGAGAGTGAAGAGAGGCAGGCTGTGCAGTGTTGTCAGAGGAGGATGTCAGCATCATGTGGCAGAAGATCTAAGAGAAGTGGCCACAAGACAGCAGAGAATGGAGTTTCTGAATCCCAAAGAACAAAGTAAAGGAAAAGAGGGCTGCTTGGCCTTGATGGGGCTGAAATACTGAATAAAAGGATAGAAGTAAGGCTTTTGGGAGACTTCAATGTGCAGAAAGCACACCAGCAGTTTAAAAAGTGAGTAATATGTGAGGGAATGAACGGTGCAAATACAGATGTTGTTGTCAAGGAGTAGCAGAGAACTGGTAGGAGACTGTAAGTCATATTTGTGTGCTGATAGGTATTCAGTTGTTTGGGAGAGCTAGCTAGATAGATGGTAAGTTGAATGTCAAATGTATGCAGAGAAGGATCTTTGAATCTCTGTAAAAAGGAAAAGAGAACTTTTTTTTTTCGAGAGAGAGAGATTCTAAAGTGGCCCAGAAACTCCCCAACACATTCACTGTAAAAGCCAAAGTTCTTTGCCAGATTGTTGTGCTCTCCACCACATCCATGTGCAACTCTGACCTTGTCTGTGATTGCTCGGCTCCTTTACATCAGCCCTGGCCATAGGGCCACCTCCTTGTTCTATGAATGCAACACAAGTGCTCCAGCCCTGGGGTCTTGGTGGTGGTGACTTCATTTTTTTCTGCTGGAATCTGTGTAGCTGATTCCTAACTTCTTGCTTCTGTCAGTGCTTTCCTTAAATGATAATTGGTCAGTGAGGTCTTCCAAACTGCTGGAAAACCATGTCCTTCTTCCTCCTTTTATTTTCCCTAACCTGCTTTTTTCCTATAAAGCCTCTTTCACCAGCTGATACCATGTATGATTTGCAGTTACTTGACTCATCATTAGGATGTTCATTTTTTGAGGGACAGAAATGTTTGTTTTGTTTGTAGCATGTTGGCAACCCCTGAAACAAGACTATGTACAAATGTTTGCATGATGAAAGAATATAATGCAGGTAGAGAGTCAGATAGGTTTCAAAATCTATTGATGACAAAATTGAGTAATTCTTGTTTGATTTTATAGCAATTTGCTGAAGCAGGGTATTAATTGAGAGTGGAATGGGATAGGAAGAAGGTATTTTCAGAGTCAGGAGGAAAGCAGAGAAGTGTAAAAAGTTTTGGAGAGTGGAAAGATGAGCTTTCAGGTTGTGATACAAAATTATTGAACTGGGATCCAGTGTACTTTTGTGGTTTGTAGTTTCCTGAAAGTAGTTTCTTAAATTAGATTTTAACAGTATTATGAAATGGAGTAAGGAAATGTCATATGCCTTAATGTTTTTAGAAGAATAGTGATCTTTATAATACTGAATTTACAATTGATATGGAATAGGCTCTGATGTAAAGTAATGTCCTCTTTAGTGTTACCAATAATTCTCGGATTGTGGGACTCTTGGCTCAGCTGGAGAAGATCAGTTCTGAATCTGCAGAATCAGATACTGCTAGACATGTTACATCAAAAATTCTTCATCTGGTTCAGAGTCAAGGTAAGATCTTTTGTTTTTGAAATGCATTTGTGATTGAACTGAGGGCATTTGCACTGAGCTGCATTCCTAGCTATTTCTCTACTTCTGCCCTACACCTATCCCTTTCTTTCTACCATTTATTCTATTCTATTGTAGTATTTGAAATTGAACAGTTAGAGAAATACACGAGTCCAACAATGAAATTCTGTGTTACTCGTAATAGCATAACTATTATCAAAAAAATCAAATAATGACAAGTGCTGGTGAGGTGGCAGGAAAAACAAACCCTTCTACATTGTTGGTAGGAGTGTAAACTAATACAGCCATTATGGAAATTAGTGAGGAGTTTACTTAATTAAAACTAGAGATTGCATTTGACCCTGTTGTATCTTCCAGAAAGAATTAAATACATTATATTACAACGATTCATGCATACCCATGTTTGTACTAGTACAATTTATAATAGTTAAATCTTGGAAGCTGCCTGTATGTCTATCAGCCGATGAATGGATAAAGAAAATGTATTTATACACAGTGTAGTACTGGTCCTCCACAAAGGTGGATAAATTTGAGTCAGTAGTAGTAAAAGAAATGCACCTAAGACAATAATGTTAAGTGAAATAAGACACACAAGCTTAAGTATCACATCGTGTAGCTTATATCAGAAAACCAAAATATACATAAAGAGCAAGACAAAAGAAGTAATGAGCTAGATCTTCTGCAAATGGAAGGGGACCAACAGATGAAGTTGGGGGGAGGAACAGAAGGGAATGGTGATATATTATGTATTGTGTATGGCTGCTGAATTTTCCATGAGGAGTGTGATCATTATGTACTGCAAACATGTACAAATAAAAAATAAAATTAAAAAAGTATTTGGTACTTGTTCAAACATTTCTACTTTCCAAAATGTATTTTACTGAAATAAAAAACCTAGCATCAAAAGCAATGTTTGGGGATGTTTATTGCAACGTTATTAGTAATATGAAAAATCAGGAAACATCTTGAATAGCCATCAGTGAGGGAATGATTGCATAAACTTCAATATGGCCAAAGTAATACCGTAATACACATCTGTTGTCAGGAATAAATTACATCTCAAGGAGGCTCTTGTAACTCCAGTCTTTAGGTTCAATTAGATCGTTACTGTTAAAGGTTTGTGGAGAGCTTGAAAATCGAAAGCCCTTCTGGATGGCAGGGAATGACAGATGTTTTCTGTGGAAGGCTTGATAGTGTGCGCTGCAGACATTGTAAGCCTTGGCTTCTGTCAGCCACACACCCTGCCGTTGGTGCACAGAAGTTGCCAGAGGTGATATGTAGATGAGTTGGCACAGTGGAATTAATATGCTTTTCTTCATCAATGCTGAAAAATTATGATATATGGGACATATATGTGTAACCATATGAGTTGTCCTGGGGACCTTAATTTTTATATATTAAGTACAGTGTAAATTTTATTCATATTACTCTAAAGCCAAGATTTTACTTTGTATAAGATAAACCATTATATTTGAATGTCGTGGTTTTAGGTACAAAGCAAAACACAAAGTGGATGCATACAAAACTATTAGTAGTAGTTCTTGACTTTGTACTTTTCAAATAGAAAAAGCATATACTACGTATGTATTTAAATGATTTTTAAAAAGCAAACAAACTCTTACATCAAAATGTAATCACACTGTAGAAACCTAAACTTTCCAGTCTCTAGTTTTCCTTGGTTGCATTACATTTTTTGTTTTTAATAAGCCATTACTTATTTGCATTGTACAGGTACATGGTACTATACTTACGCTTTTCCCTTAGAAGCATTTACATTAATTGTCCATGTCATACAAGTGTTCTAATTAGTTAGCATGCAGTTTTTGGTGACATTTCTCAAAATCTTTTATTTTTATTTCAAATTTTGATCACTTATGTCTTCTCTCCTTTTTTCTTGGTGTGTCTACCTCAATAGTGGTGATTTTGCCCCATCCCCCCCGCCCCCCACATTGACAGTGTTTGAAGACATTTTTGTAAAAAACAAAAACAAAAATCCTTTGAAGTTTACTTGTGTAATCTGTTGGTTAGAGGCCAGGATACTGTAAGTGTTCTAAATGTTTTATAGTATATAGGACAGTCCTGCTTGAGACAATTATCTGAATCCAAATGTCAGCAGAACTGAGGTTAAGAAACTAGTCTTGCTAAATGTCAGTTTTTTTGAATGAGCCTACTTGTTTGCTTTCTCTATTTTTCTTTACATTTTTCTCCTTCTTTCCCTGTCTCTCCTTTTCCTTTCTTCCTCTTCCTTTAATCCCTTTGCCCTCCCTGACCCCTCCTTTTCTTTGTAGTAGTAGTAGTAGTAGTAGTAGTAGTAGTAGTAGTAAGGGGCTTGAACTCATCGAGGCCTTTGAACTGAACTCCATTCTCAGCCTTCTTTTAATTTTGAGGCAGGTTTTCACTGTCTCATAGAGGTTGTCAGGCTCGACCTAAACTTGTGATGCTTGAGGTTCTCAGAGTGTTGAGATTATAGGGGTGTGCCATCCATTTGATTTTTCTGTCCAAATGCTCTAGCAGTTATTAATCTTGGATATTGAAATTTGTATTATTGTTATACTGTACTTTTTTATTTTTGGAAGCTTTTACTTCATTTTGAGGCTTTTTTGTTAGATATGTATATATTTATATTTGTTTTTATCTTCTTGGTGGTTTGATTCTTATCATTATGAAATGTTCCTTTTTATTTTTAGTAATACTTATAGATCTAGAGTCTGTTTCCAGCTGTTTATGATTACTCCTCACATAGTATAACTTTATTTCTTTTGTTTTGAATCTGTTAGTGTTTTTGAATTTGATTTGTCTTTCTTGAAGGTAGTTTAGAGTTGGATCATCTTTTTTTTTTTATTGTACCAGGAATCAAAATCAGGACCTCACGATTTCCAGGGAGGTACTATGCCACTGAGCCAAATCCCTGGCCCTGGATCATCTTTTTTTAAAAAAAATCTCAGTTTGGTACTTCCAATTTAACGTACTTATTGATATGATAGGAGTTACACCTATTATTTGTCTTTTTGTTTTCTGAATGTTACATGTGTTACATGCATCTTTTCATCCTTTACTATCTTTTGTGTTTTTAAAAAAAATTTTGACAATTTTAGTTCATAGTGGTTCATGTAGTGACTAAAATACATATCGTACAACACTATATAGTATGGTGTACTCTGGTATACCTAGTCTTTCCTCTGCTGAGCATTCATGGCTTCCATAATTTTCTTAAGCTCCTTTTTTTTTTGGTGTTATCTGCTCTGGAGTCACTAAGCACGGTTTTCATTGTGGACAGCATCTCTGCAGTTATCTGAGAAATTAATTCTGATTTGATTTTTTTTTTGGAGTCTCATTCAGTTGCTTTGTTGCTGCCACTTCTGAGAGGCCTGGTGGGTGGCTTTCAGAGCTGGGCTTTGTCCCAGTTCATTGTCCCTTGGGCTTGCCTTTGGTGAACTGGATGTCTGGGGTACATCTTGTCAAAGTGTCTTATCATTGTCTTTACTTTTCTTTCTTTCTTTTTTTAAAGTTTAATTCCTGGGGTGATGTGTGTAAATTGCCTATGGTGAGTTGGTGGGTTGCTTTATTGGTATTTGTGAGAACCTTTAGGAAACAGTTCTCTGAGGGATCTTCCAGGTGTAGCTGGTTTTTGGATTTTGAGTCTAAGATCCCACCTCCTCTGTTTGTTGGGGATGAGAAGTTGCTGTCTGTTTGGCCCAGTCCCTGGTTCTTTGGCACTGTGTCACAGTATTTTCTGTGATGCTTAGTCACTGTCCTTCTTGGAATACCAGGAGCTGTTTAGAACGATCATGTCACTTTTGTCTATAATGGTACCATCAGCGATGGTGATAGCATCAGACACAGGCTAGAAAATGGTAAATTGAGCTAACCATTAATTTGCCACCATCAGCCATAGGAATTAGATTTCTGGTTATAAACAAAATCTAAAACAGACCAGAAAATTATATGCAGTATACAAGCCTTTTACTATGTCAATTTTTGTCAGGTGTTAAAATTTAAAATGAGTTAGGGAAAAAAGGGAGAAGTGGTAGAAGAGGAAGAGATTGGAAGTAAGGCTGGAGGAGAAAAGGGGATCAGGCTAACTTTGGGAAACTGGTGCAGAGACTGGAGGAAAAGAGAAAATTGAGAGTTTAAAAGAAGCAGAGAATGGACCCACAACCACAGAGAGGCTACAGACCGTATTCACACTCATAAAAACAAGATCAAATCACAACGAAGAAAAAAACAAAAATCACAAACAAAATGAGAACAACAAAAATAAAGACGAGAGAGCAAGAAAGAGAGTAAGAGAGACCAAAACAACCAAAACAACAACAAAGTCCATTTTCAAGTTTGTCTCTGCTGTCACTGATAGACAACGTGTGGAGGCAGAGTCCAGATCCATGTTGATTTATCCCAGCAAGCCAGCAGTAACTTTTTGGCGAGGTAGTGGGTAATCTCAGTGAGCCAGCACGTTCTGGCCGAGACCAGACTCAGTCAGGCTGCAGCTGTCAGTGCACTTTCCAAGAACCTGAGCCCTGCTGGGAGCTGCTAGATGAGCCTGGCAGTTATTCTGAGTTCTGACCTCAGCTGGCCCCTCTCCAGGATGGCTCCCAGCCAATTCCTCTCTCTTGTGGGAGGACTTACCCCGCAATACTCACCACCAGCTAATGCCTTCCTTCACGTCCACTGCTCCACTCCATTGCTGCATCTCTGTGGAGATATCTGAGGTTGCCAGCAGTCATCATGTGTCAGCAGGTTTGAATCACTTCTCTTGTGCAGTGAATCTAGTCTGCTGGAGAAGGCACTGCTGGCTACTTCCTCCTTCTTCATTAAAGCTTGTCTTTTCATGTCTTTGTGGCCTTCAGTTTACACTTCAGATCCTTCTGGGTCCAGTGGACCCACTTTCCTCCTCCTTGTCTTCCGCACAGTGCTATATTCCAGGGTCTGGACGGTGACTCTCAGAGTGGCTCCTCTGCTGCTTAACAGTCTACCACCTTGGCGCCTGCCCTGAATGACGATATTGAATTAAAAGAATTTCTGGCTTTGGTATTCAGGTGTGACAATGTTGTGGGGAAGGGTACCACATCTGTGTAAAAATTCTGCTCATAGAAAGATTCTTTGACTCTGGGAAGTGCATTCAGTTAGAAAAGTCTGTGTACTTTAGATTCAGAAACAGGTGAAACAGCAGTCTATTCCATTTATTTGCTCAGTGGCTTTGTACACATTTCTTCTCCTTTTTCAAAGGAGATGTTCTGGACCCATAAAAAGAATTAACACTCTCTCCCCCAGGGTTACAGTGTGATATGGTGAGGTATTGTAGGGAAAGCACTTAGAATACTGAATATTAGTTCCTTTGTTAAGTGCTGATCTCTGATCTGCTGTTCTTGTTACTTAAAGGAGACTTGTAAGAAAAATCTAGAGCTTCCAAATAAGGCTTATATACTTTTTCCACACTAGTGAGAGAAAAGATTATTTGAGTGATCTTGTCTCCAAATTCTTACAGGAGTTGCTCTTTTTCAGGTTTAACAAGAAGTTCACGTGTTTCAGAATTTTGAAGTAGTACTAATACAGTCAAAACATTTGAAAACAGTTGTTGGTGTCTGCTTTCACTCAATTTGATGAACATTTTTCTAGCTCTTTGCAAAAAGCTAACCTACCATTGTAATTCCTACCTTGCTCCTACTGTGGTGTGCACCTGCACTACGTTATTGGCTTAAGATTTTAAATGGGCAGACCCTCTCCTGTAGCTGAGAAGAAATGCAAGAAAGGGTTGTCCTCTGAACTCCAGTAGTCTGCTGTCTAGTAGAACAGCAGCCTCAGCGGAAGAGCACCGAGGAAACATTATAGGTGTCTGCTAGGCAGTGGAGACTGGTTGATTTCACATTAGCTGTCTGTTATGAAACATACACTTTTTTTATTCATGTTAAAAAAAAGGTTGCTTTCTACTTTTCAGAAAAAACTAGGAGAGAAATGACAGTCAAAGGTTCTACAGCAGTGGATGTTTTGCTGTCAACATTAGAGGTAAAACACTACAATTATTTTTCTTTAATTATGTTACTAGTAATAGAAAGCAATACTGAAGGGAAAAACTAACGTGTATGTACACATACAAAATATAAATTTTTTAAAAAGATAAAGCCAGTGAAAACTGGTTTTATGTTTTAAATTATAATTTGGAATGGTAGTATAAGTATTCTAGTATGTATTACTTAAATACCTAAATATATGAATGATATATGATGAATAATGCTGTGCATGTTAAATTTTAAAAAAAATCTTTACAGTAAAAGACACATTGCCATTAACACCATAAAACACTTACCCCTTGCTTTGAACACACTTGCTCTATTATTCTTGCCACTTTCTTTTCTTTTAAAATCCATTTTATTTTATTATATTTGCAGGTTTTTTTGTCCCTTTGAGATAGGGTTTTGTGATGCAGGTCAGGCTGGCCGTGAACTCACTTTGTAGCTCAGGCTGGCCTCGACCTTGCCTCAGCCTTCTGAGTGCTGAGATTACAGGCATGTGCCACCACACCCAGCTTGTGCCACTTTCTGAAGCATTTGTGGAAGTTTTTTGTAAGTGTCTTTAGTTGTGCTGTCTTGGATGTTTTGATATTCTGAATTGATTCAGAACATTTAGCTTTCACAGTCATTTATACTTTGAGGAGAAGGCAGCAGTTGCATAGTACCAGATGTTTTATAGGCAAAAATTTTGATGGGAATTAATGGCAATTATCTTTCACTGTAATAAATTTGTTACAATTTAAATAGTCACTATTTTTTAATCACATCTCATATATTAATGATAATTACATTTTTATACTTAGTATAAAAGTTTTGAGGAGGCTAAGACAGATGTATTTAGGATCAGGATTGTATATTTTATTCAGTGCAATGTTAAGAATAAGAAATGAGTTTATGTTCTTTGATAGGAAGTCTTAACTGCATGAACATGACATTTCTCCCTGAGTTGGTCTGCCTGCTTAGAGCAGTCTCAATAAAATACCAGCAGTCTTGCTTCTGAAGTTCATAAGGAGAAAAAGTAAGCAAAAATACAAAGGGCATCTCTAAAAAAGAAATCAGAAAAGACTATCATGACCAAATGTCAAAGAACATGATAAAAAGCCTGACATTTAAAATAGCTTAGCAGTTATACATGTAGACACATATCAGTGTAATAAAACAAAATCCCAAAATAAAGTGCTTATGAGAATTTAGTAATGTTTGGTGAAGGTACCATTTTACAAAGAGGACTAAGGGCTTATTTAATAAGTGGAGTGGAACAAATTGACTGAGATGATGTACATACCAAATGATATAACCCTATAATAGACTTTATCTTTTTAGATATATACTTTGCCATAAATATTTTAATGTTATTAAAAAAAGTAGATTATATCTTGTAGCCCTTAAAAATAAAGTTTTTTATTTATTGATATTAAAATGCCAAGGCACCAAATAGTCTTTATAGGGCAGCACTGTCTGGAGAAATGAATCTGTATATGTGTACATGTATTTTTGAATGGATCTCTTTTGTGTGCACAATCTTGGGTAGGATTTAGGAGAAGCTGATAATAGGTTCGCCTTCTGAACCAGAAGCTGGGTGACTGAGAAATCTCTATGCATACTTTGTAGTACCTTTTCATTCTATTATCTATTTGGTAGAAACATGAATCAAAAGGACAAATTAATTCCTCTTATAGGAATATTGATACTAAGAAAATATTTAATCAATTTTAATTAATATTTAATCAATATTTAAGTTAATATTAACTAACATTTAATCAATATTTAATAATGAAAATAATATTAATCAATATTTAATTAATTTATAAGTCAAATGATTTATAAAAATTCTTACAGGCAAAGGGAAGAGACTGAAGTAATGGGGGTAGTGGAAACCTGAACACATTAGTTCCTAGAGAAATTGGAAAGGTCTTTGGAAAATATAGGTGGTTTCCAACAGGTACAAAAGTTTGTGAATCACAAGTTTTCAATGTTTTAATAAAGCAAATTAATTGTTTATTTCAGAACACAAAAGATCCTCAAACTACACTAAATGTTTTAAGCATTCTTGTTGAGCTGGTGTCAGCTGGTAAGTTTTTATTCCCTTTGGTTTCATTTCTGGGGGAACAGTCAGCAGCAATGTATCATGTACTTTTATTTTTTTAAAAATACATATTGAGGCTATTCTGGTATTGGAATTTGGAAACTGACATACCATACTCTTTGGTTGTTGGCATCCTTTAGCCACCCTAAGTTTCAGAGGTTGGACCTCAGAATTTTTACATCACTGTGTTTATCCTTTGTGTGATTTTTTTTTTTTTTACTTTATCCATAAATGAAGTAAACCAAAATAGGGTTTCAGTATATTTGTTTGATTTTAGAAATCATTGTTTTAAATATTTCTGGAATGCTAACAATTTATGATACCTACTATGGGGGATTCACTGTTCAAAGATTTGTCTTTATTTTCAAATTTTAGGTGGAGGTCGAAGAGCCAGTTTCTTAGTTGCCAAAGGTGGTTCACAGATACTGTTACAATTACTTGTGAATGCCAGCAAAGAATCTCCTCAACATGAAGAGTTGATGGTGCAGGTTCATTCTGTTCTTGCCAAGATTGGACCAAAAGGTGATTATCAAAGCTAAAACCATGTTTGTAACATTGTTTCTGCCTTACTGTTGCTTAAGTTTTAAAATCTAAAATTCTGCTTAAAAAAAAGTAACTTGTAAGAATTGAGGATATGAAATTCATGAGTTCTGGTTTTTTTTGGTCTTTTTCCTTTTTATCGGTACCGGGGATTGAACTCACGACTGCCTACTTGCAAGGCAGGTTGCTTATGCCGCTGAACTAAATCCCCAGCCCCATGAGTTCTGTTAAGAATGATAAAAAAAAGAAGAAAAAAGAATGGTAGGAAAAGAAAGACAGATATGTCAGAACCACAAGTGTACCTCAGTGTGTTGTGTGCCTCCACGTGCATTGGGTCAGTGAAGTTCTTCCTCTCCTGACTCCCTGGCTGGGCTAGTCCAGCCTTATCCTCCTTCTCTACTCCCTTTTGTGCCCTTAGTACATTTGCCTAACCATGCTTCAAAAGTGTATGGAGCATTTTAAAAATCATATAAATTTGCTGTTTTAATTGTTACAGGTTAACTTCATACTTGATGTTATAAATTCATAAAATAAATTTACGGTGTCATTGCTGTATGATTTTCATTCAAAAGTTACACTTCTGTTTTTAAACAGATAAAAAATTTGGAGTGAAAGCTAGAGTTAACGGGGCTCTGAATATAACACTGAATTTGGTCAAACAAAATCTGCAAAATCATCGATTGGTTCTACCTTGTCTTCAACTTTTACGAGTGTATTCTTCAAACTGTGAGTATTTCAGAGTGAATTTTAGTTAACTCAGTATTGTGAAGTTATATAAAATGAAAATATTAAAGTACTTTAATTCTGTGAACCTCTCAAATTTGTGAAAAGGAAAGAAGATTGAATATGGCTTTTTGTAACTCCTAAGACCTGAGGTGTAAGAATATAAGAAGCTAGAAAAACTGTGAACCTCTTCAGATTTTCATGAATGAGAAGAAGGCTGAGGACAAAGGCATGTGGACACAGTCAGCTGGGGCTAATTATTTTTCAGCAGTTAGTAGGGAAGTAGCATATTAGAAAAGCAATTGTGTGTGAGTCTCCCAGGAAGCTCAAGAGGAGAGGGCTTGCAGAGAGATGGTTTGGACACAGCATCTCCTGATAGACAGTGCTCACTGGGCCGTAGCGCGTGCCAAACCTGAGAGTGACACATTTCCCTTTCATCCGTGGCAGTGAACACTTAAATAATGGACATCTACATGATTATAACAACATGTGGAAAGGGATTTTATAGCTAACCAAAAAACTTAACAGCAGAAAAAAAAAAACTCAAAGGAAGTAGAGGAACAAAATAGTAAAGGAAAAAACAATTATATGTTAGAAAATTGAAAGTCAATTTAAAAATTAAAGCTAAATTGGGTTAGAAAGAAAACATAAACCACAGTATGCCAGTCAAGGAAAATGGGAGAGAATATATACAGGAATGAAAAATAATAAAGGCAGTGGTACAGTTAGAAAGGATAATAGAGTGATACACAGAGAAAATTAAGACCATCCTACAGAACATTAGGAGGTGCATTTTTGGTAATATTTTATTGACTTAACTACTATAAAGTGAGCCAAATGGTTTATGTATAATTTTTAAAAATAATATTCAGCAGTGAAAATGGTAGGCACAGCTTTCCTGTTAGGCAGTACCCTCCTTTTCCTTACGTCAGTTGCTTCACTTAAGGTCCTTATTACATCTCCACCAGATTATGGCCTTTTACAGTGTCTCAGGCCCATTTTCTCTAGACTGCTGTAGGTTCTATCCTGTTAATTGAAAATGCAAATCTCATGTATTGCTTCTTTTATGCAATTCCCTGTACATGAAAGATTAACTGTTAGGGTTTTTCATAGTTTCTTTCTTCCCTTTCACTCGCTCTCTCTTTTCTCCAGTTCTTCCCTTTTACTGACCCCCTCTACTCTTAGAGGCTTGAGTTCACATTTGTTGAACATGTCATATAAGTTTTTGGCTGAGTATCCTTAAGTGTATATATTTTTAGTTACTAAAGTTTTTAAATAAATTTACATCTTCTTCTCCCTCTCTCAGCTGTGAATTCAGTAACCTTAGGGAAAAATGGAGTTGTGGAGTTGATGTTTAAAATCGTCGGACCATTTAGTAAGAAGAATTCAGGTCTTATGAAGTGAGTAAATGTTTGAATATAAATAGAGGCATATATTTTATTATTCTGGGCCTCATTATCTTGATATATATAATAATTAAATTGAATTAAGTTGTATCTAAGGTTTTTTCTTAGTTCTTAAATAGTGATATTATTATGGTAAAGATTTTCTTACATAAAAATTTAATTTTTAAAACTATACCAAGATTAGAAAAAATGAATTTCCAGTATTTATAAAAATTTAAACTGAACATTTCTAGGTTCTGTAAGAGGAAATAAGATCATTTATAGAATATCATTCATGCAGAAACATTTATTGAGTGCCTACTATATTCCTCACCCAATTTTGCAGTCTCTTAATGACTACGTTCTTCATTTTCACTATTACATGAACATGTCTTAAGTTTATATATTTCTGCTTTCTCAAAATCATGTCATCCTTTTTTGTCTTGAGATATATGTATAGATATTTGATTAAGCTATGTTTTATATATAGTGGTACCTCAGTTCACGAATTTAATTCTTTTTGTGATTCTGGTTACATCCAAACAAGAACCAAAGAATTAGGTTTATGAACCAAGACACCTTTGTATATATCTATATCTGTATATATTATATTCACTAAGCGTAGCCCTGTAAACTAAAATGAAAGCAGTTTGCAGTTATTCTGTTATATTTAGTATTTCTTTTTAAGCCTAGAGGTCATTTGTTAATTTTTTTATTATAGAATTTTTCAAGCATGTATAATAATGTATATTATGTTAAATTAATTAATGGTATAAAGTACCTAGTATATTTGTATTCAAAAATTATCAACATCTTTTTTATTTCTTTTCTACACTTCGTTTTTCTTGGAGGATTTTTAAGAAAATCCTTGATACTTTCTCTGGGGTGATTTCCTTTGAGTATTACCATTTCTGTCTTAAGTATATTAGTAGTAACTTTACTAAATAAGTGTTTCATAACCAGAATACTACAGTGACATCCAACGGTTGTTAATTCCTTATACAAAATAGCCTGTCTTCTCCAGTTTTCTCAAAATTGCCCTTTACCATTGGATTGTTTCAAGCAGAATCCAAACAATACATATGCATTATTCCTAATTATACTTCCGAAGTTTTCAAGTCTACACAAAAGTACCTGTTACACAATTTTATTTTATGTCTTTCTGAGGCAGCATCTCGCTGTGCAGTTCAGACTGGCCTTGAGCTCACTTTGTTGCCCAGGTTGGTCTGGAACTCTCAATGATTCTCCTGCCTCAGCCTCCCGAGTGCTGGGATTATAGGTGTACCTTACCATTCTCATGCCCAGTTACATATTCTGCTGTTTTTATCTTCTTTATCTTCTTTTTCCTTGCCCTTTTTTCCTGGAGTCTTTGAGAGCACATGGCTACCATTCTGTTTGATCTGAAGGTTCTTTAGTGTGTTTGCTGTTAGGTTACAGACCTTCTTTTTTTGTCATCACTCAGGTCTTCTGTTTTTGTTATCACACTGTCATGTATGTGTCCAACAATAGTAATTTCTTATTACCATTTTATATTTTTGATGATTCAAGAAATGCCGTTTTTGTTTTTTTTTTTTTACAGTTGACATGTTCAATTTACAGTCCAAATAAGGTCTGTCTGTACGTTTTGTTTGATATGATATATCTCTTATCTTTTAGAGTTAAAGGGCTGGGAATAGAGCTTAGCGGCGTAAGCTTAGCTTGGCAAATGCAAGGTTGTGTGAGAGTTTGCTTTCTGGTACCGAAAAGGAAAAATGAAGTGTCTAGAATCAATAAAAGGCCACTTATTTCTTGGTTCTGTTTTATTGTAGGACCTACAACAGTTCTTTAGAATATCCAAGTTCTGGATTAGGGTAACATTATGCTGGAGTCATTTTATATACATGGTGTCCCACACATTTTCTGTATGCTGACAGAGGTGGTGACTTGATTAAATTTACCCTTTTTTAAAAAAAATAAAAGTATTTCAGAGGTAGTGCTAGGTGTTTGAGGGACTCTATCTGTTAGAATGTTCCCATTTAATATCATTAATGATTTAGCACTCATTCTTTGTGTTGCCTGCGTGTGTTATTTTGTTAGGGCTGGTAAAAAAATGGCTTTTCTGATATTCTCATTTTCTCCTTGTACTGTATTTATTAGTTGTGAGTCTTTTATAGAGGAAAACTTGTCTACATAAACTGTTTTTACTCAAAACTGGGAAAAGTTCAGAATATTTCCAGTCTTTCCACTCTTTTTTTTTTGGTACCAAGGATCGAACTCACAACCTTGCAAGTACAAGGCAGGTGCTTATGCCACTGAGCTAAATCCCAGACCCTTTCTTAATAAAAGTCAAAATACTATAAAATGTTTTGGCAACTTACTTGAACACATATTTATTTATTAAACATTTTGTGATATAGTGAACATGTTTACTTATGAAGAGATTATATGCATTCCTAGAATATGTGATGATATGAAACAAGATAAGGTGTTTGTATCACAATTAGTTAATTTACAGAGCTGGTATGATTGAGAGTCAGCTCCGAAGGTGTGGAGATGTGGCTTTGTGTTTAGCTATATCATTTATCTGCCCTAAGAGGTGAAGTAACTTAACAGATGGGCCCCTGATTCCTGTTTGGAAAATGGCAGGCATATTAGTGTCTCTGGATAGGTTGTGAGGATTTAATGAGATGATTCCCATAATTAGCACCCTGCTTATATTGATGTATACAGTTTAGGTGAGTAATATAGTAGTGTTGGTTTAAATGAGTTGTAGCTAATACTCAGTGTGTGTACACATATATGCACACATACACACACATACTTTTTTTCCCCCATTCTTGGTACATGTGCTGAACAATTGAGCTACATTTCCAATTCTTACTTGTTTATTTAATACTGGAAATTGAACCCAGAGCTTCACATTGGGTTGCATCCCCTCTTTTTAAATTTTTTTGACAGTCTTGCTAAGTTGTCCAGGCTGGACTAGAACTTGTGATCTTCAGGCCAGCCTTCCATATTATAGCCCAGGCTGGGATTATAGGGTTACACCACCAGCTTCTATTTTTGTTTTTATGTCATATCTCCACTTAATCTGTAAAGAACTTCATAGTTTATCTTTTATGTCATGGACATGCTTTTTTTTTTTTTTAAATCTAAGATCCATGTTACTGTATTGTAACCAAGTTACCAGTGCCCCTAGGAAAAAGGGAAAATTTCAGAAATTATTTTTATATGTACCACATGGCTTATGTCTAGAACCATAGAGAAATCAGTGGGCCTAAAACACCTGAGAAAAGTACATAATTTAAATTATATCTTCAGTTTAAATTATATATAAATTATATCTTCATTTTTGCTTGTTTTTTATTAAGTAAATTAGTATAATTTATGTTTTCATGAAATAATTTCACATATTTGTAGGCTGTTTCACACAATTGATTTTTTTTTTTTTTTTTTTTGGCGATACTAGGGATTGAATTTACGACCTCGCACTTGCCAGGCAGGCGCTTATGCCACTGAGCTAAATCCCCGGCCCCACACAATTGATATTTCAAGATATTACATCAATTACCATACATTTAAATTATAAAATTTGATACAAAACATCACTATTTAAATTAGTATATTATATGTGTTTTGGTCTACAAATCTTTGTTGTATGGTCATTAAAATTTTTCATTCTTAATTTGTATTTTTAAAAAAGTTTTTTACTACCCTGTGCTGTTGTGGATGTGCTTACTGTAAGTTTGGTGCTCAGAGCCTGGAGCTGGCTGTAGATCTAGTTTCTGAGACTTCTTCTTACTCAGTTCTGCAAAGGATCCTCAAACACCCTCAAGCATCACAATGAATATGCCATAGCCAGCAAATTGAAGAGGAGGACAAAAATTATTCAAGAAATCTAAGATGACTGAAACACGTAAGGGAATGGTGCCGGGCGAGAAGTCCTAAGCAAGTGGAGATATACTTTGCCAACCCAGGAACGAACTAAACTAAGAGAAACCAACTGGAAACACAATCCCGGTGATATAACAGGAGCAAATAAGGTCTCAGCTCGGAAGCTGGAGCCTGCACCACTGGAAGCCGCGATTTGAATTTCCTGCAGCCGCTGCTGTGTCCCAATTGGCACGGCAAGGAGAGAGGCGCAAAAGCTCTGAGATTGGGAAGCGGTGAATGGAGTTGAGAGTGGGACTGACCAGGACCCCTGCATTGACCTGCGGTGAGTGAGCGGATTGGGGACCCTTCCATAGAGTTAGGAGGCTTCAGCAAAGGACATACTGGGACCGGGCAGACTAGCCGGAACAGGATGCTGCAGTGACTTCAGTCACATATTCCCCTCTCAAGCCTGGCTTGGGTGACGCCGCTGACTAAGACCCAGTAAGCTAGCTCAAACCAGGTCCCAGCGCCTGGAGGTGCACCCTAGCAGTGAAGCCTTCGGTAGGTTGACCTGGAGGGGCGGGCCAAGCATAGGCTGCCCAGGTCTGTGTCTCCCTAGTACACTGCAGTGGGCGGGAACACCTAGCCGGCACACCGAAAAAGAAAGAAACTGGGTCTCCTATATACGCTTGTATAGCAGGAACAAAAAATATGGGAAGAGGGAGCAACAAGAAAGGGTCCTCGGCCCCCAATCCTGAGAAACATGCAATATCAGACACGGCACAAATAGCGCCATAAAGCGCTATCTCCAGAGCCTCATAGACGAGTTCAGGAATGAAGTTACTAATGACCTGAAGCAAGATATAAGTAGAATAGTTAGAGAAATGCTAAGCACCGCCCAAGAAAAAACAGATGGTGGAAAGGTAGAACGGAAAAAAAGGGGAGAATTGTTTGATGGAGAAAATAGAGAAAACAGAATACGTGAAGCAGGTTCAAAGAGATTACCAGGAAACTAAAAACTCTATCAAAAACTGGCATAACAGTTTGAAAGAAACTAAGGATAGATTATCTGAACTGGAGGGCAGATTTTTAATATGGGAGAATGAAATGAAAAACTTCTTAATAACAAAAAACCAGCAAAAATACAAAGGCTAGAAGATGAT